CCAGGCACAACCAAACCCTGACCTTGGTTTCAGTTAGGATAAGAGGAAGCTGTGTATCAAATTTGGTAGTCCTAGCTCTTAAGGTTTAGGAGAAGTTCTTGAACAAACTAACAAACAGGTGCATAGACAGATGGACTCACAGACATGCTCTAAAATATATATACAGATCATAGTTTCTGAAAACCCGTTAGATACTGAACAATTAACAATGTTTACAACATGAAAATCAAACGGTAAATATCCCACCAGCGCAATAGATATAAAACAAATTGAAGTTCAAAAACAAAACTTTACACGTTTAACTTTCTAATGCAAGTGAATTACTCCTCCCAGAATAACGACATTTCTCTCTCATGGTGTAGGTAGGTTTAAGAAACAGTGCTGGAAGTATGCTAGGGATAAGACTCAGTAGCTTCAAATAGGGCCACAAGTCCTTATAAGGAAAGGTCTGTCTACATTAAAATGCCACCCTCGTGGGGTCTCACAGTAGAATTCCAACAATAGTAATAGTGAGATAAATACTCTAAAGTTTAATTTAAACCATTTAAAAGTATTCTGCACTACATCCAGTTCAGCCAATGGTCATTACTAGAAACAGAGCTGGTCCCTTTGACTTGGGTCTAATGTTCCTTCTAATTTTTTCCCATCCATGTGTGGAATACATTTTGTAATGTGCACCAAGGCATGTGCAGAGTGCAATACCAGTAGAAACACATGTACCAGTTATGGGCACGAGGCAGCATTTGAATCTGTACTGAGAGGCCATCCAATGCACAGCTTACAGAGAATGCTGCTTGGTTCCCATGGTGTAACTGAAATAGGTCCAATGGGTTCAACTTCCACCAAATCAGAACTTTGGAAAAATAAGATCAGCTGTGCTTCACAGTGTGTATGTCATTTCTTAAGCATTTTTACAGCTACATGTTCTATAGTGAGAAATCCTGTCATTCTGCCCCCCAAACAAGCTATGTTATTAGAAGAGATGGAATCCCCCCCTTCAGTCCCCTGGAAGAATTACATTTCAGGGGGGCAGAAGGAATGCTTTAAGGGCATTCATCTAAAGGAAAAATAAGTACTCTCTGGCATTCATTTCTGTGACTAGAAAATTGTTGGAGGAGGATGTTTTATACGTAGCTTATTTTCCAGAAGGTGTGTCAGAAATATATACATACTTTTCTTCCCTTCTATTTAGCAATATGATTAAGAAGAGTAATCAGCTAAACAAAGAGGTAAGAACCAACCGTGTAATAAAAATATGAAGACATTTCATATTGATGCTTGCTTTTCTAGCAGAATCGTTGAACTCTAGAGATATTTTAAAATGGTTATTTTGATTTTTATCTTCTGCCATAAATTCTGCATTTATTAAATACATGCAGCCAAAATGAGATATATTTTTGACCCAGTTATAGAAGGGGAAAATTAATTCACTGTCCAATAGGCAGAAATAACACAACTATTCTTATTCTTTCTGCAAAGTTAGGCAAATCAGAATCTCATTACTGGATCTAAAACTGCATGTTAAATAAGTCTATTTGGGATCTCTGTGCAGCATTAAATCTGTGACTTGCATATAATTTTTGGTTATAAAACTGATCCGTTTATCCCTAGAGAAATAGTAAATGTAGCTATATTTCCACTAATTTTATGAGATATTCATTTTTATTTTTAACATTGTAAGTAATGCTCTGTACCACCATTAATATGAATAACTCATTAAAACAACCTTTGTTCAGTTCTCAAATTTACTTTTTCTTATGCTGTGCCATATGCTTGGAAAAACCAAATAACCTCTTTTTCTCTTCTCTCAGCTCTCTCACAATGCAGGAGAATGTAGCACTTTAAAGACTAACAAGATGGTTTATTAGATGATGAGCTTTCGTGGGCCAGACCCACTTCCTCAGATCAAATAGTGGAAGAAAGTAGTCACAACCATATATACCAATATTTGTTCATATTTTTTCATATTTGTTCATTTTTTAAAATTGTATCCTTTGGTATATATGGTTGTGACTACTTTCTTCCACTATTTGATCTGAGGAAGTGGGTCTGGCCCATGAAAGCTCATCATCTAATAAACCATCTTGTTAGTCTTTAAAGTGCTACATTATCCTGCATTTTGCTTCAACTACCCCAGACTAACACGGCTACATTTCTATCACTCTCACAATGGGACTGATTTTCCATTGCATTCACTTGGATTTACTAATGTTTTATATCCATTTCACATTCACTTTGCAATGGTTCAAATGACTACACAGGATTCAGGTTTATAGATTATAAGGCCATATGCCCTTAACACAGGCTTCCAATGCTAATAAATATCAATTGCCTGCTCCCATCCCTATGATTTATTTTAATTAAACATAGTGGAGCAGGTTCTAACCTTGTGCTTTGTAAAACACATTCATAGCAGAGGTACTATGTAAGTATTGCAAAATAATATGAAAAGAGCCCTTAATAATTATAGGAACTAAGAAACAGGTACTTTCAACATTAGAGGATCTCACAAGTAAGGCGTAAGATCAGCCGACTTTGATATCCTGTATAGAAGTACAGTAAGTCTTCTGTTGACTTACCCTATGCTAAACCCTGTGGTTACATCTACACTACAGCAGAAAGTCAACTTAAGCTACAATCTACATGAATAACGCATCTGGAGTCATCCCTTAAGTCAAGTTACAGCAGGATCTGCACCATGGGCAGTTGATGGGAGAAACTCTCTCATTAACTTCCCTCATTCTTCTTATCCAGAACATACTCAGCTGGAGAGTAATCGGTGGTCAATTTGGCAGGTCTTCACTAGACCCATTAAATTGACCACTGAGGGATTGATCTCAGAGCATCAATCTATGCTGTAGTATAGATATAGCCTATGTTAAAATTCCAAGTCACCAGTACTGAGTTGTGCTGGCAAACTGGTTCAATTCACTCTGGCTATGCTATAAAGCAGGCTGGGGATACCTTGTTGGGACAATATGAGCTATCGAGCTAGGACAGAGAATGTCCATAACAGAATCCTAGAAACAATCAAGTTGAGGGTGTCGGTGATGCTATGTTACTGCTTTTGTGTGTGAGTAAAGATTGATTTTGTTTGGAGGTTGTTTTTTTGGCTGAAAAATTCTGATAATGTTGATTGAAATGAATAAATTCACAAAATGTTTCTGAGAATTGTTTGAGTTTAAAAAAAAAAAGGAAAAACCTTCAGAATTATCAGACTGAATCATATGCACATTATCAAAATGAAATATTTCAATTTTTCTGGCTAGAATCACAAAAGGATCTAGGAGCTATTCACAAGAGAGAGGAAGGGGTGGACTTACTGCCCCAAAGCCTCAAGGTAAGGGTACTCACCTGGGATGTAGGACTATCTTTGATGAATGCCCTAAACACAAGACAATTGGCTATTCTACAGTGAGTCACACTGAATCTCTCCTATTGAAGCAAAATACTTGGAATAATCATTGGGCTAGAAAGAAAGAGTAGGAATGACTAATAGTTACTGTACTCCACTCCCCTGGAAAGGGCACAAGTGTGTTTCAGTCTCAGCTTCAGTGACTAAAGATTTATGCATGGTGTAACAGTTTTAGCATAAGAGTTTGAGCAAGCTCTGCCTTAGAATAGACAATAGGCCAGTGGTTACGGCACTCACCTGGAAATGGGGAAATTTGAGGTCAAGACCCTACATCTAAAGTGGGGATTCAAACTTGGGCCTCATTGCAGTTGGAGCTAATGGTACCAATCTGACTGCACACCTAAGCAGTGACCATCCTGAAGTTTAACACAGAGTTTAAGCAAAACCAGTGAGGAGTTCTATGGCACCCTAGAAGCTAACAGATTTATTAGGGCATAAGCTTTTGTGAGTAAAACCCACTTCATCAGATGAATTCGAGTGGAAATCACAGAGCCAGAGGTATATATATGAAAGTGAAAAAAAATTACTTTACGAAGTGTTAATGAGCCTAATCAAGTCAGGGTTGATAATTAACTTCTTGTTCTTTTGTTGTAGTTTCATATATCGATCTCTGGAGTATAAGTACAGACATGACCTTAGTTCCCAAAATGGTTTCACAGAGAATAAGCTGAGAAAAATGGAATTACTAACACAAAGTAACTGAAGAGCACTGATATCTTTTTGCTATTCATAGCTCATATGAAGTACAAAATATTGAAACAGTCAAAGATTCTTAGATATGTTATATGAGTGGTACAGGTCTTAAGTATCAAACCTTAACACACCTCAAAGTCTGAGCTCATTTCATTACTTTCTAGGAACTCATTAGGTTCAAAAAGTGAAGAATAATATTAGTGATTTAATGATGAATTTTGGTGAGAAAAGAAACTAGGGAATCCTTAATATAAGTGATTTTGAATTTGTTCTTGCTCTGTGGATCTCAACTGTCACTGACACACATCACTAAGAGAAACATTATTTGGTTTTTTTGAGAAGTCATGTTTTTTTTCTCAATATTTTTGTTAAGCTTCAATACCCATCAGATTGCAGTCAAGTTATCAAAGTCAGAAGATGGATCCCAGAAAAGGATTTTTTATATATAAAAGGGATGGGGCTATGAGAAGAAGCTACTGCCAGGACACTAAATCAATCACAAAATTGCAACATACAAATAGTCTGTCATACAACAGGTGAGAATGAGAGGGAAAGATATAACCCTGGAGTTTCAATAGGTGAGTTTTCACAGTTGAGAGCTATTCATCTTGGTGTTGTCCTTCTCTAAGTTAGTTTAAATTTTCTTTTGTGGCACATTACTCTTGTCTGTGGTAAAAAAGTTCAATATTAAATTTAATACAGTATGTAACATTCCCTCATAAACCTTTAATGGTGTCAGGGGAGGGGAAAAAAAGACCCACTCCTTGTCAGTGTGTCAGAATTAACAACAACTTTTGAAAAATTGTATACACTCCAGCACTGACAAGTTGTATATGTCATCCAAACATCAAAGATGGTCTTACAAATGGCTAGAACACTAAATAGAACTTACTTGCTGTTTTTGCAGCTTTAGAAATCTTCTCTGTAAGAGAAAAAAATATGACACTGAATACAAGACAATAAAATAACTTAATAGTAACTGTCAATCTCGACATGTTTGTACAGACTCATAATGAATTTATCTGCTGAAATTGCTGAGTTCTTCAAGTGATTACTATGTACCCTTGAATAGCTTCTGCTGATAATGTGATCGAATTAATCCTTTTATGTAAGGAAATATCTGATAAATTACTGCTATCTACCATGGCAGGAGAAAAGGATAAATCTATTTGAAAAATGCTTCCTTTAATAGAGATGGAGGTCTAGTTTGTTTGTGTAAAGGATTTTTCTGTCATGCTTAGTGATCATTTAAATTGTCTTAGTCTGAATATTGCACCACTTTAATAAGTATATATGCTATATATACACATATATAGGTAATATGTAGTTGTAACTGTAGTTCCCTATATCATCTATACAGTTGTTTAGCTTTCTAAATTCAATTGTAAATGCAAATACCTACAGAGCAGACATAAAATAAATTATATAGTCTCAGTGACAAACTGGGAATTGGCCGATCCTTGGTTTTCAGTAGTGTTTGGCCCTAGATGTGTGTCTGAACTTACCCTCATGTGCCCATTTATATTTTAGTGTGAGCAAAAACTACGGAGCCAAATATTTCTGAACTTTATGGAAGATCATATTTGCAATTTAGGCAGGCCCATATCCAGTGATATGTAATTGTTAAAATAACTGACGTACAGGTTTACTAAGGAATATAAATTATTGTCTACTGCAAGTATCAATATTGCATTTTCCTTGATAGGATTGCTCTTTAATCCTTGTATATAAAAATGTTTTAAAATTCAAGGTACATACAGATTTTAAAATTGCTTATTGCTCTTTATCTGATTGCCTTATAATATCTAAAGCCAGATGAAAGATTCAAATCCAAATCTAAGAATGTGAAACTATTCTGTTCAAGCTTTAGAAGCCAAGAGAAGATTTCTTATTTAATGTTTGAGATTATCTCAGAATGCTTAAATACTTTTCAGCTTTGATTATTCCAGTATAAAGTATTAGTATTTAATAGACTGTGCATAATGCATCAGGTTCAACTGGAAATACACAGGAAGAAGAATTGAAGCACAAATTCATTACAGTATCATAAATTTAGTCTCAGATTTTAAATCCTTAGAGTGTAGCTAATGCTGAAATATAGAGTTGATAAATGTTTGGCTATAATTCACTTTAACATTATTTATGAAACCTTTTATTTGTTATTTGAAAACATGCCAACATTTTTGTTCACAAAAACAGTGAAAAGAGACTGTCAAATACTTGAGTATCTTGTTTGCATGACCATTCATGGAAATATATTTGCACAGCCATCCTGAGAACTCTTTAAGGTCTAGGTTTATCCAATCAGGGATCATCAATATCATGTAACTAAACAGATTTATCACATAAACCAAAGTGATTACTAGAAGAAGCAATGGTGATAAATAACCTATACATAATCCATAGTAAATATGATTTTTTCCTAAGTGAGGTCTGTGACCATGGTTCCAAGTCTGGGATTTTTTAGGGCTAACAGGTCTTTCCTCCTGAATGTTGTGGTTTGGTTTTATAAGATATTAGAAATAAAAAAAATCATTGAGATATATATATATATATATATATACCACATGTGTGTGTTAAAAGAATAAGACTTACGCAAAGCCAAAGTTAGAAAGTGTCAGAATTAAGGTTGCTTGGCCAACCTTAATTTGTCCCTCTTGTGTGCCTGCATTATGATGCAATCTTTAATTACTTACATACTTTTTTTCCCCGTCAGGACCTATGGCTTTGTCAGGACCCATGCCTCATTTAGTGCAAAGAAAGGATGCTGCTCAACTAATCAATATTTTATTTCTCCCTTACGTGTTTGTTGTGTGACTGCATGCTTTCAGACCATATTAGTTCATTGTGTGTTTTTCTATAGAGCTCATCACTATAGTATTTAAGTCTTTCACAGTTAATGAACTTTTTCACATACCTCTGTGGAAATGATGGGGATCTGAGGCATGGAGATATTAAAATCAAATTTCCACTAGTTTTTCCATGCCCAATCCGAGTTTTCAGAGTACTTAGCATTATAGTGACTTGTGCAGCATCACACAGGAACTCAGTGACAGAAGGCAGTGACAGAAACCAGTTCTCCAGGGCAGCATTCAACTGTCCCAATCATGAGACTGTTCCTTCTATTCCTGCAGGCTCCTTCCTTATTCACCAACTCCCTTCCAATATCTGCAACAAATGAGGGTCCTACCTGAAACAGTCTCCTTCACTATGCAACTCTGATTCACTCCCAGACCATAGTTTGAGAGGCAGGAGTCCTGTCCAAACATTAGTATGTGATCATATAATTAAAGACTGTATCATAATGCATATCTATGAGTGAGCTGAATAAGCATTGCAAACCCAACTTTAATTCTAGCATTTCCTAACTTTAGAATGCTTCATTTTGCTGTTTTAATAATGTTCTTGTAACAGATTTTTTGAAGAGATGTAATTTCCTAGGTTTTTAAGAAAGCAAACGGAAGAAAATTCTACCATGCGACATCATCTTGACGCCCATAAGAGGTGTTGAGCCTTATACCCACCACACAAGGCTTTTGCCATTGGAGTTAATGGAGTAAGTGATAACAGTAACCAGAAACCATGGTGTGTGGTCCTGCACTAGATGGGGATGAGACTCAGTGGCTTTCACAGATATTTGCTGGCAGGAGAAAAATGGGGAGATGTAGGGATCTTGGCTCCATTCCAGCCTATGGTATGGAATGAACCCTTCTAGCTCATTCCATCCAACCGTTTCTGGTCTCAAACGTAGCTCTTTCCCAACAACACCATCACATTGCAGTTCACTACCAGTCCCAGTTTCTCACTTTGGCCAGTGTCAGTTTCTCTCACTGAGCATCTAATCCCATCTGTTTTAGCTTCCCACTGCCCCCAGCCCTTTCATCATCTTCAGTGACTCCAAGTCCCTCTCCTTGCCTGGGTTCCTCATTCAGTCTTAAACTCCGCCTACACTGTGTCACAGAGCAGACCCTGGGGGTGTGTGAATTGCAGAATGACCTGAAACTTTAGGTTCTAAATGCCAAATGTAGATGCTGCTGGTGCTAGTTAAAAGGTACCTAGGTCAAGTTAATGTAGTCCTCTTTCAAACAGAACAATGTTACTGTGTACTAAGTGCCTTTTAGTTTACACCAGCTATGTCCATATGGGCAGTTAGAATGTAGCACGCTTGTGTGCTCGCCATTCCTACCCTTGCAGTCATAACTGAAGAAGTCTGTAGACAAGCCATCATTGCTATTCACCAGTTCCTCCTTGGCTCCTTTTCTAGTCTTTGCCTAGTTAATCCCAATTCTTTATCAAACCTTAGTATTTCCTCTCTCCCACTGACTGGCTCCCAGGCCTTCTTGCCCAGCTCCCACTCCTAGTTTCTTTGCCAAGACAGTCTCAGTCTCCCCCATTTCAGCTCCTACTCTCCATTGTTGGATTCAGCACAGCCCACAGCAGAGCTGAGAACTGTAATTGCAAGGAAGTCCTGCTCAGCTCCAAGCTAAAGAATGTTCAGTGTGGACAGAAACTTCTGGGAATTTAGTTTTTAACATCCAAGGAGTTTCTGCGGAGCATGTGTGAATTGTATTTTTCCTCCAAACACTTACAACTGGGTCAAATTTGGGTGGATTTTCACATAGATGGGAGAAACATCCCTGACACAAGACTCACGCTCCTCATGCTCCCTGTCAAATTTCAAGGCCTGCCTCAAAGGCACAGAGATACAAAAGCTTTTCAAAGAATTCAACATGGGCAAAACAGTGTATTTCCCTAGCCACATTCTCAGAAATGGTTGAGCCACTTTGGCTGAAGTTTTTCATAAAAATATAAGCTGAAGCAGATATGGGGCATGAAAAATTTCAACCCAACCAGTTTTAGTTTGGTGAAGTTATAAGCCACTGAAAACAGAATCTCATAAAGGAAAATGTCAGACAACCTTCATAACTGGCAACATTATTAGGACAAGAAGCAATGGTCTTAAATTGCAGCAGGGGAGGTTTAGGTTGGACATTAGGAAAAACTCTCTGTCAGGGTGTTTAAACACTGGAATAAATTGCTTAAGAAGGTTGTGGAAGCTCCATCATTGGGGATATTTAAGAGCAGGTTAGATAAATATCTAACAGGGATGATGTAGATGGTGCTTGGTCCTGCCATGAGGGCAAAGGACTGAACTTGATGACATCTCGAGATCATTTCCAGTTCTATGATTCTATGATCATGAACACTACCTATATTAACTCATTGAGCTCCAAAATTGAGCATAAAACAATGAGGCCTGTTTTGCAACACAGATTAAGTCTCTGAATTTCTGTATCTCTTATTGGACTACAGAATTAGCAGGACTTGCACTCTATTTGTTGAGCCCAAGACTCACCATTCCCAATGAAAGAAGATATATTCTTATATGAAAGCAGATCAATCCTGAGGCAGCAAAACATTTATGCTAGTGTTTCATTTTAAGCCTGCAAATAGTCAAGAGGAAATATGCCAACATTCTGTATGCTTGCTATTAGTTTATTTTGTATTTCCTTATTTTTTGTTTAGTTTGTTTTGCATTTCCTTGTTTTTGTTTTGTGTTCACTTGTCTTGCACATTTTGTTATAATTAAAATAGTTAAGCTTGACTGTTTGAAACAAGTTAAGACAAATACTGTTTGTGGTTATTGTGAGGCAACCTCACTGAAGCCCACAAAGTACAATTCAAAGTGCACATTCTTTCCTTTACACAGATATTATTCTGTAGTGAGATTAAAGGTGCTATCGGCAGCTGACATGAATCAGTGTAACTTCAGTAAACTCATATGCACTGAGTTACAGCAGTTAAGCATCTGCCCATGAGTTGAATCAATTGATGATTTGTACTATCACAGCACTTGTGATCCCACACCATGGTCCTGGATCCCATGATATAAGGTGGTATACAAACTAAGAATAAAATGTTGGTTTCTGTCCCAAAGAGCTTACACAACAAGACATTATAATAGCATCCCACCCTCCTTTCATTGTTTGTTTTAGAGGCATAGATCCCCATACTGAGATATAAGATGAAAATATGTTTGGGTTAAGGACAAAGATATAGTCCAAATACATCAATCCACAAATGCACAAATATGGGTTTGCTTTGGTTGGTTCATCCCTTGTGAAATTCTCATTGATTTTAATGAGTGTTATGCACATTAAGAGCTTGCAGGTTTGGGGTCTCTTTAAAAATGTAAGACGAAATATTGATTACCTGTTGTCAGGTTGTGCTGTCTTAGAATTTCTTTTACTGTCGGGACTGTTAAAGAAACATATTAGATAAGCAATGCAGTTTTATCATTTAAATAAAAACACGATTGATAGAGTTGGTTAACACAGATAAAGTGCATTTTGCAAACAAACCCTTTTAAAGGAAAAATGTGTCTCTGGTTGTTAGTTGAACAATCTCGCTTCAAAATATTACTAATAGCTATTTTCAAATGGACTATTTGAATCCTCAAAATGTACGCTCAATCATTTTGCGTGGACATGTCTCCCTCTGATTTTGGGGATCAGTGAATACAGATATGGTGGACCTCGCAGAACTGCACTTCTATAAAAATGATTTCTGTTTAACCAGCATGAAGATCCAGAGATTGCTCTCCATATACTGTATGTGGTTTTATACCTTTCAGTACCTTATTCTGCTTTTCCAATGCTACTAATTATTTTAGTGGGCATCACATAAACCATCATAGCAACTACAAATGACTCTGCGGAAAATAAGCCAGCATTGGGTTGAAGCTGTGGAGCTCAAACAGCTTAGTCAGCATGAATGTGACCAGGAAATGTTTCACACAAATGATAATTATCTCAAACTGTGAATGCAGTCATCACAAAATATACAGGTCAGCAATTCAAAATATCCCACACACTGAGGAGATGGAATCTGCACTAGCTCCAGATATGCTGTCCCAGCACACAGCATTATGGCAGACTAGGAAGAAACCACTACACTCCTATGTAGATAGAGTGTCTAGGAATCCTGCAGATAGGCTAATGTACCAGCTGTGGAGGGCCACATTGCAGCCTATATCCAGGCTACAGGAGGAGCTGATTTCATCCCTCTGTCTCATATACACAGGGCCAATATGCTGAGTTACTTTGGCTTCATGTGCCACTCTAAATTCCCCCCTACGCATATTAGAAAGGCTAATACAGCTCTTCATTCCAATCACCATAAAACGTGATGTTCTCATTTTAATTACTACTTGCAGAATTTCTCTTGCCTTTATTACCTTTGGCTTTTCTCTCTTTAAGATGTTTCTTCTCTGTTTTTTCTACAAAGCAGAAAGAAATATAAGAGTTTATGGAGGGGCAATTTAACTTTGCAACAATCAGTTTATCAAGGTCACTCTTCAGTTGGAACTGGGACAAACCTTTCAGAGATTGTTTCAAATAACAATAATAAGAACTGTAATGCTGGACAATGAGATTACTACTGTAGTGATCTTACATTACACACAAACTTCTCAAATAGTCAGCTCTTACCTTCTCTTTCTTTTGCAGCCTTTTCTGTTTTTTTCTTTGCTAGAAAGATTTGCAAGGAAATATTAATTAAGGCTGTTATCACTTGGGGATTCTATTCTGGACACCTAAAGCAAACTGATCTCTGGTGTGTAACTATAAATGTTCCTAAATTTGCAGCTGGAATAATTTGCACATTTCATCAGGCTATAGATCTACAACATTATATTCTTTTTTTATTAAGCCTTACACCAAACACACATACTTGTCTTAGATTGATATATGTTTATGCCGTTTTTCAGCATTCCTTTCCCAATCCCCCAGAATACAGCTAGTTATCTAAGACACATTGAAATTAACTAAGGTGGATAACTACAGGCATCTGAACCATTCTAATATCCCCTGTTGAGTACAGCAGAAATCTGGCAGTATGCCTCAGAACTGTTCATTTTCACTCCATATGATCCAACCAACTGTAATAAGGATTCAATATCTCTTGGTGTGTGTGCCATCTGATTAACACAAGCTTGCTTAATTCTAATCACCTCTGTCTAGCTCACCCTTAAAAATAAATAAATACACTGAACACAAAATAATCAGTTCATCAGGCCAGATTTTCAACAGCTGAAAATCGGCATAGCACTAATAATTTCAGTGGATCTATGCCAGATTGCACCAGCCAAGGATTTGGTTACACATGTTTAGTGAGTATATATTCCATTGGTTTTCTTTGCTAGATACTAAAAAAAACATGGTCTTAATGAAAACACTGGATTTGTGGCTTATTATAACAATCTGTAACAGACTTGACCTCCTTATTTCTCTGTGAGCACAGAAATGTAAATGGGGCACTTCCCCTTAAATCCATGCTAACTCTTTATGCTCAACTATCAGTGCAATCGCCTGTTTAGCTATGACACTCTTAGGCTATGTCTTCACTAGCAATGGAATGATGAAACTTTTGTCAATCAGGGGTGTTAAAAAAAGACAAAGGTTTTGCTGACAAGTTCCATTGTCAACAAGAGTGATCTCACAGAAATTGGTCCAATAAAAGATATTTCCTCACCTGGTAGAAGTATTTTGTCAGCAAAAGAGCTGACAAATTGCATCTACGCTGCCTGGCTATAGTGACACAGCCATGTTGCCGAAAGCTGCATAGTGTAGACAAATTTTTAGAACCTTTCCCAGACCTGAAAAGCTCTGAGTAGCTTGAAGGGTAGCCTCTCTGATATTATCTCACCCGCCTTGTCTCTAATATCCTGAGACTAATATGGCTACAACACGGCATACAACTAGTCCTTTCTCCTAGATATTTGGGAAGTGTAATATTTACCTGCTACTGTCATTTCAGATGCTGGTTCTTTAGGAAAACAACAAGAAAGAAAAAAATAAGGAAGAAATTCAGGTTATTTTATTTTGAGAAGTTGATAGTTTTGAAAGAACTTTACTTTCAACTGCAACTGTTCCCATGGGACATTAATTTGGAAATAAATGAGTCCATGCCCTAAACATATACACAGAAATCTATCAGTTTTGCCCTTTGAAGTGCTATAATCCAACATGCAGCTACAATGCCAATGAAAGCTTTTCATACAAGTGAGGATTTAAATAGGGTTCTTTTCAGATAAGCATTCAAGGTTCTACCTGCCCAACATTTTTTTTCTGTAATGCAAATTTAAGCTTTTACCCCTGCTGTCCTACCAGCTATGTACCCTAATTAAGAGCTCTGACATTGACCTGCTGTCTGTGCTAGGACTTCACCTCTCTCTCTTTTGTGCCCCCAAACTTCTTTGTTTTAGACTGTAAGTGATTTGGAGCATCTTGAACAATCACTTGTGGTCTCTAGGCACTGCTGCAAACAAATACACAACAGATACAGTAGGCCAGCTCCTCAGTTGGTGTAATTTCAACATAGCTCCAATTTACATAAGGACAAATGAATCTGCTATGGGCTTTGGTGCCTGATCTGTGGCCCTGCCCCCCCATGCACTGCCCACACTATGTCTGAGGTGCTGCCTCTGCTCGGCCTCTTTCCTCTGAGATCTTACCCATGCTTCACCCCAAGGCTCTGCCTTCACCCCTTTTCCCCTCGGGGCCCCTTCCATTGCTTGCTGAAGGGGAGGAGCAGAGAGGAGTGAGCAGGAGGAAGGGGGTTAAGAGGAGTAAGTAGTAAGATGAGGAAGGTAGAACCTTGTGATGCAGCCCCTTTTAATTGTGGACCCAATGCCATGATGCCATTGTAAACCTGGGACTGAATTTACACTGTTTAAGACTTGGTGCCTGGAAAATGAAAACATTTCTTTTCCCCTCTTTTTCATTAATATTCATTTTATCCCAGGGGCCAGAGAGAAACATAATCCCTTTTGACTAGAACAGTACAGAACGGGATTGGTTCAGTTTGCAGGGATAGAAATACACTTTTCTTCAGATTCCACTTTGGGTGAACTATCACTTTTTGGCTTCAGCTGAAAATGCTATGCTTCATCTGTGTTATAAACAGAGCGGGCCAAACTTTTTCCATCAAAACTGTTTTTGATAGGAAGTTGCATTTTCAACTGCACAAACTTTTTTTTATAAAAGGTGTCCATTTTCTAGGAAAATGTGGACTTTGTTTTAATCTCATTAATAATAATTATGACAACATAGAAAATGATACATGGTACCCTATAAATGTTGTACTTTGGGCACCTCATGCCCCAGTTATCCCCTGTTGTCCATTTTCTGCAGCCAGACTACATCTGGAGACTGTCTCACTCTCTGGTTGGCCCAGATTTGGGGAGGAAAACCTTAAGAAGTTTTAGTGTCTCTTGTCTGCTTCTCCCTTATCTTCACCAAGGCAGAAATGCTTATGGATTAAAACCAGAGGAAAACATCAAAAGAAATTCTACCTAACTTTATACTTTTATTACTGAATAATACAATTATTTATTTTATTCGCAGTAGGGGCAGTGAAGGGCCAATACTGAGATCTTTTAAAAATTCCACACTAAATGTTTCTCCCACTGTATGTTAGCATGTCATATAATTAAATATTTTCTTCTTATTTGAGAAAAATAACATCAGCTTTGTTTTCTGTTCAAGGTAACCAATTTAATTTGACAGACTTTAAAGTAATCAGTATGCAGGAACTGTATTTTAGATTTGATTAAAGCTTCTGATTTGACAAATGACCAACTGCCAACACAGACACTATTTCATACTAAACTGGAGATAATGAAAATTGGATGGTTTACTATTTATTTGAATAGCCAGATGATAATTAATTTTGGTTGATTACTATTAAAATGCACATAGACAATTTTGGAGTCCTTCAGACTTAGTTTTTATTTCTGTTTCTGGCCTGCCTTTCAGATAATAAGACAAATTCTCCACTGATTTACACCTGATCCACTGATTCTAATGGGATAGCACAGGGTACAAATTAAAAAGAAATTTAAATCAAAATATGCATATGCTTTTAGCATATAGCTGTGCTACAAACAATCTCAGAAAGCTATTGATAACTCAATATCCATGGCTTTATAGTGCAAACTGATTTACATAAGTTTTATCTCTTACTACAATGCACATATAAATTAATTAGTAAAGCTATTGTTAATAGTAAGATTTGTCAGCCCCTATCCAGAAGAAATATTCTTCTGTTAAAGATCAGTTAAAGCCAAAATATATTCATATAAATGAGGATGCACTATAATACTGATCCAGAAAGTCTTTTAACTAGAGCTACACAGGGTACTGGATACTTTGATTGCTGAATTAGGGTATAAATTCTAGATAAAGATATAGACGTACGCTGCTGAGCATCTGTTTGGTGATTTTTTTAAGTTAGAAAGTATTTATCTAGCTCTATATGATCATTTCAGATCACAACTTGCAAATTCAAGGATGTTTGCACATATATTCCCACAAAAGTAATATTGATACATCTTGGGTACTGTTTGGCAAGGACGTGTCAAAGCAGCATATGCATTGGTAACATTTCCCATAATGCATCACAGTCTTCCCTCTTTCCTAGCTGCCAGGTGCACTAAGAATGTTCCCTAGCCTCATTGCATCATGGGAGATGTATTCTGGCTGGGAAGTCCACTCACAAAAAAGAATAAGGTCATCAGTTTCTCAAACTACAAGTCCCATGAGATACTGGAGTAGCTCAGAAGAATCCTGTCTAATGTCAAATTAAGCAAAATTGAAACATTTTGATTGTTACACACACCAGAATTAAAGGATTGTATCATTTTGCCAAAAAAAAAAAAATCCTAGACTTTGGGTGATTTATTTTTAATTAAAATGTGTAATTTTTCTACAGAAAACAGATCCTTTTCCTTAAGCATCTGTTTTATTGACAATGTTTTTTGTCACAAAATAGTTTCAAAGGTAATTTTTCTCCCAGCCCTAGTGATGAGGGGCTGCTGCCACCTGCTGACTTCAGTGTGAGTTGATGGAGGTCAATAACTCTCAGGATTTACCATTTATAATTTTATATTATTTTCATTAATATACGTATTTGTGTTACAGTAGAAACAAGAGGCCAAAGCCCGATTGTGCTACCCACTGTAGAAACACATAACAGACAGATCCTGTTCCAAAGACCTTTCTGATCATTTATCTGACAAGGTATTGATTAAATAATTGTCATATTTCATAAACACTGATCTTTATTAAAAGTATTATTGCTGTTTTAACCCAATGTGCAGTATGTAACATCTGATTTCACATGATAATTAACACAAATCCAATCCTTCTCTATGCAACAAAAGCAACCATGGTCCTTAACAAGGAAAATTTCTGGAGTGCAAGGTAGATTCATTCGGTATATGTTGTCTAATTTCTCTTGAAACTCACTTAAACATCATGATCTTTTATTATTTTCTTTATTTTAATTGGGTATTTTATTCTGGTAGGGCTTGTCTACACTATAGAGAAGCTCGAAGCTCCCGCATTCGTTCTTCTGGGTTCAAATTACAGTAAACTTCCGATAATCTGGCACCTTTAGGACCCAGAGGGTGCTGGATTATCAGATATACTGGACTATCAGAAGGGGGGGCTATGAGGGGTCTGGGTGGGGTGGGAGTGATACCACCCCAGACCTCCCCCTTCCAATAGTCCGGCTCTGCCCCAGGCGTCCCCGATTCAGCCACTGTTGGTCAGTTTCAGCAGCGGCTGAATCAGGGAAACCAGGGGCAGAGCAGCTGGGGTGCTGCCGTGTTGGTCCCATAGTGCTGCCCCTCGGGGCTGCAGGACCCAACCCGGCAGCACCCCAGCTGTCTCCGATTCAGCCGCTGCTGAAACTGACCAGGCAGCTGCTGACTACAGGAAGCCCCAAGCAGAGCCGCTCTGCCCCCGCTTCCTGGAATCAG